ACCTAAGTACATTTCAGGAATGTTCCAAAAACTTCAGGGGCATTGCGGAGTCCTCAAGGATGTTTTGTGACCATTTGGAAAATTTTCTGGATCATTAGAACATCCCCCAAGAGCTCTTTCTTCCGGAATTATGTCCTTGTTTCTTTCGACTGTTTCGTAAGCGCTCTGGCTTCCGCCTTTCTCCAGAATTTTTTTTCAATCTACCTTAGGAAGTTTCTGCCAGCGTCTCCAGGAAGTTTCTTCGGTCTTCTCCAGGAAGTTCAATTAAACTTCTCACAGAAATTTCATTCGTCTTGTTCTGGAATTTTGTCCAGTTTACTTATTTTGGAAGGTTTTCCCGAGTTTCTTCTGGCTTCCCCTGGAAATGGCTACTTCTGGAATTTATTTCCGATTTCCAAAACTTTTCTGTCTTCCTTTGAATGTGAAATCCGATTTTTTTCTGAAAGTTTCTTTACATTTTCGCCAGAAGTTTCTCAATTTATGTCTTGGAAGTTCCGCGGATGTTTTTCCGACTTCTCTCAGAATTTTCCTCAAATTTCCTTCAGGAGAGCTTCTTTCTTCTTTCCCTGGATGTTGTTTTCAGCTTCCTCCAGAAGCTAATTCAAGCATTCCCCGGAATTTTCCGATCATAGTGCAAATGTTAAAATTTTCGCTTTCAAAAACGGCAAAAACATAAAATTAATTAAAATAGAAAATACCGATAAATACCGATTTTTTAAAACCTTTGAAACCGATAAACTTTAAAACATTCTGACAACGCTGGCTATGACCGCTGCAGTAGCTCTATCAAACATAACCTCATCCGACTAGCTCCTCTAGCCTGTTATTGATTGTTGAGGTCGTATTGTCGGAAAAATCAAACTGAACATTACATAAGGTCCTAAGTTACATCGATCACGATTCTCTTCGTCGACTTTCTCTTTCGTTAATAACTTGAGCACATAATCGTTTGTTGATGTGTTTGTCATATTAGATGCTAGATAAAAGCTTCTTTTATCGATTTGTGTGCTGAAAATACCTGGGAATGTCTTAACATGGCCGTCGGGATATAAAGAGAAAGTAGACGAAGAGAATCTGTCAATGTTACTTAGGACCTAATGCAATGTTCAGCTTGTTTATATTTCAATACGGAATACGGCATTGAAATACCCACAAAGCGATACCGTTACAAATGCTAACCATATTGAGATTTGATTTTAAATGAGATCTATAAATAAGGAACTACAACAAACATTTGGCATCGAGAAAAGCGTCACAGAATATCTCGATAACCTAGAATTAGGAGAATGTTCATAGTCCAGAAACTAACAATATAGGGGAAATGTCTCTAATGTTGGCCTATGGATCTAAGATTGGGCCCATCGCTTAAAATCTACTATTTATCAATTTTATCTACACACTTAGAAATAACTAGTTTTACAAGTGACGAAATCTGTCGTAACAGATGAAACGTAAACAAATATCTCATGTAATATTAAGTGCTCCGAGACTAAAAATTTCGTTGCTCGACGAAAAGTACGTTTGATTGAGTTATATTTCGCGTCTGTTATGACTCAAATTTATGTCAAAATTAACGCTCGTATATGTCACTCTCAGAGCACCTAAATTTACATGATTTTTTCTAAGTGTGTAGATGGGCCGTTACTAATGGATATTTTTGGTTGCTATTGAAAATTTAGTTGATTGCTGTATTTATGGATAGGCCCAAATTAGGGACACTTAGGCCGACATTACCTGCATTTCCCGTACTTACTAACTTAAGCTGCTGGTAGCATTCGCCATGAAAACAGTTCCGTATCTGTTCCTTTTATTATCATCAGATTTATATATTTTCAGCATTAAAACTTTCCCTGGCAGCGCAACGATCTCTCTTTCATACCTGCGCCATTTTTAACTTTGGGAAAATTTCAATTAGAACTATTTACCCAGAATCTGGATAGATTTTACTCATCAGAACAAAACTAAAGGGCGAACACGAAATTATTGCGACACATTCAACAGGGCATAACTTTTTTACCATTGGGTAAAAATCAACCAAATTTTGCACACTTTCTCATTGATGTGTATTGTGTACATGCTGTCAAACTCGAAGTCGTGTTTTTCGATTCAACGAAAATGGAGGCGAACCAACGCGAGTTGAGAGAACAAATTCTTTCCAAACACCTGGAATTTCCTGACCTGTCGCACCGGCAGTTGGGAAAAATGTTGAACATTCACCATTCAACCGTCTCCAGAGTGTTGAAGCGGTTCCAGGAGCGGTTGACGTTGGACCATGGCAAAGGAGCTGGAAGAAAACCGGGACCGGAGAACAAAAAGACGGAGGGAAAGGTGAAGCGGATGATTAAAGCAAATCCCAACGTCTCAAGCCGTGATTTGGCTAAAAAGATCGGCATGTCGCAGAGCTACGTCCAGAATGCAAAGAAGAGAGCTGGACTACATACATACAAGGTACAGAACTTCCCAAACCGCGATGAGCGGCAACAATCGACGGCTAAAACTCGGGCACGGAAGCTCTATGAGAAGATGCTGACAAAATATGGCTGCTGTGTGATGGACGACGAAACGTATATAAAAGCCGATTTTAAGCAAATTCCGGGGTTGGAGTTTTTCACCGGTAAGAGCAAGTTCGATGTGGACGACAAATTTAAGAAGAAGAAAATGTCGAAGTTCGCCTCCAAATATCTCATTTGGCAGGCCATCTGCTCTTGCGGACTGAGGAGTGAGCCTTTCGTGACAAAGGGCACAGTAAATGGCGAGATCTACAAATCTGAGTGCCTCGAGAAGCGCCTTTTGCCGTTCTTGCAGCAGCACGACAAAGCTCCGCTATTTTGGCCAGATTTGGCATCATGCCACTATTCTAAAAGTGTCCTGGAGTGGTATGAGGCCAATTCTGTCCATTTTGTTCCAAAGGACATGAATCCGCCAAACTGTCCGGAGCTGCGCCCGGTGGAGCAGTACTGGGCAATAATGAAGCGGGAACTTCGGAAGAGCAAGAAGACAGTCAAAGACGAGAAGGACATGTTAAGAAAATGGAAAAAAAACTGAGAAACTGGTACCGGATGACACTGTAAAGACTTTGATGGAGGGCATCAAGCGAAAATGCGTTCAATTTTACACTCAATGCTCCATCGATTAACTTTTCTTTTGATTTTTGAAGTAAATATATGTATAAAACTACCCTAAAATTTTGGTTTGATTCTAAACATTATAAGAAAATTGGCATGACATTTTCGGTGTCGCAATAATTTCGTGTTCGCCCTTTAGTTTACCCAGACTTTGACAACTCCTTACCGGATACAAGAATGGGTGCGATCTACCCAGTCGCTGGGTAGATTCAGAATAGCGTGTAGAGTGTATAGAAACGTCAAAGTGATCCGATGCCAGCGCTGTGGTGAGGACTTCGCAAAACTAATCAGATTTAAATTGAAGGTTAAATGCGTACACGACGATTGAGGAGAAAGAGTCACGTCTGTTTGTCTGTGAATAAATGGTTAATTATTTTTTAACAGTCCGCACTTTATACAGTCGAATTTTGCTCGTTGGACTATCTTGGGCTACGTTTTAGTTGGGCTGTAACCCACCTAAATTAAAGTTAATCGTTTTTTCTGACAGTGCTGATCCTTCTCGAGAATTTGGATAGTTGAAAAACGATTTTGATGATAATAAACAATAGGTGTATCCCTCAACCAATTTACAGCATCGACAGCTCAGCTCAACTAACGAAAGCCTTTCACTAAGTGGGCTATGGCTTTAGCCCAAACGAGCGAATGTTGACTGTTGTACTTGGTAGGAATGGCTCATGTTTATTTTTCATTTGTCTTTTTCGGCGTTTTTCTATATTCTTGTCAATCTTCAAAGTCCCTATTTTGTTAATGCGCCAGATATCTTCATCATCATTCCTGCGACAGTGAGAAGTTGAGTGTTGATCCACCTTTTCGTATGCGAAAGAAAGTGAATCATCATCGTCTAGCGCCACATCCGCGCCTGGTTCGACAAATAAGTATGATTCCAGATAAATCTTTCCATTCTCGCTGCCTACTATAGAAAACCGCCTATCGATGACGCCATTATTGCAGCAGGCTGTGATCGTCCGGTTCCGTTCGCCTACTTATCTTCGCGCATTGAAATACTTCACGTAGTAAACTAGATACGAAGAGGTATAGGTAGCAACCGCACACGCTAGATAGCGGCCTGCACGTGTGCCCCGATAATGGTCTTATAAATAAAATGTACAGCTATAGGTACTCTCTCAGTATGTTGCATTTGCGTAGGTTCGAATCGATTTGATTGTTGAATTGAACGATTGATTATCATCAGGACGTGACGTGGCCCGCAGTAAAGGGTGTGTGCATGGTGCAATTGACACCTTGCATTCGTTGTGCTAATGATATCTCACTGTCTGTGACTGTGATCTGTAACTGTAATGAGACCAGTATCGCCGTTTAGGCACACTTGTGGTGACTAACACGTCACTCAAACAGTACCCATGCCGGTGTCTGTCTGTAATGATTCGTGCAAAACTGGTTTAAACCGCGTCTTACCGCCATAACAGTTCTGTTCTCACTCGGTTGGTCGAGTGACATTGACTGTGGTGACCACGTTGGCAAACCCGTTCAATTCATTATTATTTTTTTCGCAACCGATTGTAAGTTGCAGTCTGCTGATCATTTGTACCGATGTTCAAGGGGCAGTGGGGTTTGTTGGGAATTGGCACCTCTTTGCGAATTGGTATATTGCTTAAACTGAAATTATTACCCATTTTAGGTCAAATACAATGAAGAAGCATTTGAATTGCAGGAAAAATTCGCGAACCTACCTATCTCCGTTGATGATGCACGGTAACGGCTCGGACCAAAATCTCGCGAGTGCAGCCGAACTGATGTTACAGCGAAAGTATTTTCCAACACACTGAGATCTCAGTTTGAATCACACTACCACACTTGTACAGAGCGGAATATCAACTGCTGTGTCCGATAGCAGCAGCCGGTAGCCTCATACCGCAATCTGTCGTACAGCAGAGCCCAGTCGTGTGATTCCACATAGCTTCGAGCAGACGTCGTTTCGAACGAGTGTCCAATCTATTGTACCCCGCGAGAATCAGTGAGAATAATAAGTTAAACGTGGCCGTGTGCTACAGTGTGCAGTGTTGCAATCTGCCTGAAAGTGATGCCCCCGGTTGTGTGACCGACAAGACACGGCAATCCGAGTACCACAGAGGTGCGAAAGCCTTGGAGCTAGTGTGTGCAAAGACCTCCGTAAGTGGAACAATTTTCGTGCTGGATCTTTAGAAAGTTAGAGTCAAATGATGTTTGAACTAAATCAACCACTAATCAGTAGCTCTAGCTCCAGCCAGGAGGGAAAGGCACGTGGACTCCTGGCCCGGAATCATGTGACAAACTACAACGCATTGTCCGCAATTACTCAATCAGCGCGCGGGGTAGATATTTCTCTGAAAATTGTGCTTAGTTGCTACCACAACGAGTGGCGGCGCAAATTGATTGCCACTCAATTGTGTGCAATCACTGACTTGATGCGAATCTAGAAGTAAGCGGTGAAAGAGTGATGCTGTGCCGCGTGATTGCTAGGTTCTAAATGAGCTCTAATTGAGCATTGACGTGTTTGGGTGACAGTTTTTTTTTTCGTGCAACGAGTTCATGGAAACAAAACACATCGTGTGCATCGTTGATCTCGGTGTGCAAAATTTGCAAAGCTGATAAGATAAAATTTGCACCTTGTTTGTTGGGTGTTGAATTCCGCTCCGGGAAATGTTTGGTATTATGACATTGTGAATCGATTCTTATCAGCTGTTGAGCGTCGAGTGCCTGAAGCAGGACTCAAATGTTATGAGCGTTGAATGAAGCAGCAAAATTTATGTTAAACTCTGGATGACGCAGATTAGAGCTGCCATTTGAATCGAACAATTTTATTCTGCACTTCTGCAGGGACTCATCACAGTTCGTAATTTCAAACTGACTGTATTTTCTGCCTTCTCACGGGCTATTCGCCGTTGAAGTCAAGTCGCAAGTGAAACAACCCTGTCATTGTTCGATTATCAGGTTGAAGTAGGTGATTAGCGGATTGCTAATTGATGATACCGATCAACCGAATCGGTGGGAATCTAAACTCAATCATCGTTCAGTTTCTGCAAAGAAGAAGTACTAACTGAAAAATGAAGCCGCCGAAGAATGAAAAGGCCATACGAAGAACGTGTATGGCGAAGGTTGAGGCGTATTAAAGCATGGAGTAGAATGATGTGCAAAGGTTTTTCTTGTAAAGTAGGTGTAAAGTAAAACAGCATCATCGCCCGTCATGTGTAATGGCCGTGAGGGGAACAACATTATGATGGCTGTCAAATTAAAGGAACATTTCTTCCACCATCTGACCATCTCTACAGCATCCCGAGTCAGCTAACCCAGTTGTCTTCAACTACCGCTTGATAGTTGCCCAATTTTTCTCAATTGGGTGGATTAATGTCCTTTTTCGATGAAATCCACCCCGTTGTCACGGTACCACTAAAGTATCTCCCGGCTGTAGTTGCAGCTTTCCAAATTTGGCCAAAACTTCACAGGTCCTTTGAGTGCCTTAATCAGGGTGCCACTGAACTGGGACGGGGAATTTAATTTGAACCTTACAATATTTTATTTTCACTATATTAAACGAATTCTGTTAATAAACATTCCAACAAGCCCGATATCTTGAACATTTCTACAACTTAGACTGACATCTTAAAAAAATAGCAATGTCTCAGCGTGTGACATTTAGAATATTTTTAGTAATTTCTCTATTTCTGGGATATTGAATGCACTTCCATAGAGGACTTACATACCTTGCTATTACACTTTTCTGAAATTTTTAGCTCCATAATTTTAAATAGTAAGTCCAGGATTTTGAAATTTGTTCTCAATCGAAGTAGATATTTTGTTAATCGACATTTTTCAATGATTGAGTTTACTGCGTTGTTTCTAAAGAACCCATCTCTGAATATCTTTGCAAATTTTTCTAGGATTTGTTTAGCATCATTCCAAAATGGCTTCAGATTTACTGTTCAAATTTACTTTCAGGATTTCCCTAAATAGTCTTATGATTCTGTCCGGTATTTCCTCGAAAATTTCTCCATAACAGTCTCGGAATTCTGAGCAGAACACTTTAGGAATTCCTTCTCAGAAAACTATTGAAATTTACTCTTATTTTATCTTCGCATTCTTAATCATTCTCGCAAGAATTTGTTTAATTTCTTTCCATAATTTTCTTCAAAATTCGCTTGCAATAGTTCTCGGAAATCTCTTGGTAAGCCATTTAGAATTAAGAAATGTCATCTCCCAAAATGTCCTTGGATTCAACCACAGATTTCTTCTCAAATTGCCCTTAAGGGGATTTCTTGAAATTATCTTGGAATTCTCTTGAAATTCTTTTTTGGAAGTTTCTTCAGTTTCTCTTGGAGCATTTGAGAAAAAGTCATAGGACTTTAAGTTCTATGACTAGTGAAATGTTACCGTTCGAGGACTCAGAGTTGAGTTTGAAATAATAATCAGTATTTCATACTATACTCTGTCTACCATACCCACAACTTCTGTAACTGCCGGGACTCCAAGAATTTGAGACATTACAAGCTAAAATCATTTCCAGAATCCTTTAAGAGTGTTCCAAAAGTATTATTTTTTCCAATGATTTGTTTTCCGTCGATCTTGTTTTCGCTACCAATACTGCCAATACTATCGACAGCTCCCACACGTGGACCCTACCTATCGACTCATCAACTCATGGACCGGGGACCAATGGCTGTACTTTCCTTCCGAAGAAAGGCGTGATCAGAGATTTTATGCCTCAGAAAATGACGACGGCTACGACTGGGAATGAACCCAGGCCGTTTGGGGTGAGAGGCAATCATACCATTACACGACCGGCGCCGCTATATCTGATCTTAAAGTTTTGTTAGTTTCGAAGGCTCCGCAGGTTCAGAAAGTTTCTGTAATTCTCAATGTTTGCTTTGGATGATGCTTTGAATCTTCCTTAGAAATTCAACCCGCAGTTTTTACAGTTTGGGAAGCTTTCGCAATTTCGGGGGTTACAATTACAATAAATTTTTTACAATTCCGGTAATTTGTAAACTCTTATAGCTGTCAGAGTTTTGAAAGATAGTGGTGTTTACGAATTTCCCCGAAGTTTTTAGTGGGAAGCTTGCTCCAAAAATAAAAAAAAATCCTGGGACGTTTCGATTTTTCTAAAATTAGTAGAAAAATTTATCCAAAATCTAAGAAAACCAGCGAACAAGGTTATCTTCCATTTAATTCCACTCGATTAATTTTGGTATCGATGACAGATACCGTATGCGTGATAATGTTTGCACCATTAAGCAATGTCAAAATTAAAAAAATTCTCAAAAATTTCGTTTTCGATTTTTTTTTTATTTATTCAAAGGGGGGATGTTTCTCAGAGTCTTAAACTATGTTAATCATCGATCGAGTTTCCACTTGCTGCAATTACGGCATCCACACGCTTCCGGAATGTACGGCAGGTTCTAATAATGTAGTCTGGATCCATTTCTCTCCACGTACGGGTCAATGTTTGTCGGAGGCTTGCTGTACTCGGGTGGCGTTTAGAACAGGCCTTGGCCTTCATATATTGGCGCCATATTAAGTAATCCAGCGGATTAAGATCGGGGCTGGATGGCGGCCACATATCCTTCGCCCAGAACGGAAGATGTTTCTGCAACCACTTCTGAATGCGGTTCGAGGTGTGCCACGGAGCCCCATCTTGCTGAAATACAACTTTTGGCTTCGAACCGTACTGTTCTTTGATCCACGGAAGAACATAATTAAAATCCCGATGTAGACCTCCGTGTTGACCTTGTCGCCTTCTGGAATGAACACTGGGTCCATTTTTTTGCCATCGGAAGCCACCAATCCAAACACCATAACGCTAGCAGGATGCTTGGTCAGATACACGTTCTTGTGCTCGTCGGCCACGTCTTTTACCGGAAGAGAAGTTATATACTGGTCGGTTCTGGAATTTGATACGGGATCGATGGTAAACATGCTCTCGTCGGTGAACAGGATTACCGGATTTTTTTTTGCTTAAGGAAGTTCAAGATTTTCTTGCATCGTTCGACTCGTAGCTCCCGGATGTGGTAGGTAATCATGTGAGTTTTTTTTCCGTGCCCTCGACTTCGTCCCGCAATCTTCCTTTACGATCTTCCGTGCCGTGAAGTCACTGATCCCGTGTTCCTTTGCCATTTACCTTATTGAACGCACTGGATTCACCCGAATCTTCCTTTTGATAGCAGCGATAACCCTCGGAACCCGAGCTGACGGACGACCTGTGGCCACCTTCGCGGATAGTTCACATATTTCTAATTTTACACGTGACGAAATCCATCTTTGACATAAAGCATACGACGTAAACAAACAAGTCATGTAAAATTAAGTGCTATATATATATATATATATACATTGTTTGTATCCTATTTGTCAATGTGTGTCCTAAAGTCCCGAATAGTGTGCCATAATGTGTTTGGGCACAGTGTGCAGAGTTGATTACTCCTTGGCCCTTACTTAACATATGGACTAGATAGAAGGTTTCCGTCTTCGGTAAAGTTATTCAAATGAACAAGGCTTATCCAAACGTAATCCTAAACGTCAAAATTCACACACCAAGTGGTGCTAGTGTGACATTAATTTTTCATAGTTTGCCTTGACTTAACATTTCGATTAGATAGAAAGTTTCCGTTTTTTGTAAATTTGTTCAGATGGACAAGACCTATCCTAGACCATTGATGAACAAGAGTGACTGGTATGACCCGTTTCTTATTTTCGTGAAGTAATTTTTAAATAAACGAAATCCTGAATTCCTGTATAACAGAAATCGTCTGAACAGAGTTGGCAACTAATGGATTATTATTTTCTGACCAAGAGTGCTGAAGCGAGTGATATTATAATTAGTTAAAATGTCAAATAAAAGCATGAAATATAAACAAAGTTAAGCTCCATCGATCTCTGGGGAGAGAATTCTAAACTATTATGTTTACCATATAATTGTTTTAGTTCATCTTAAAAACTACAAGTGAAACCAAAAAACTCGAAACAACGTGAAGCAACAGTGCGAACTGATGAGTAAATTCGGAGCTCAACTGTTTACCATAGAACAGGTCTGAACAACTTTGCCCAAGATGGGAGCCTTCTATCTAGTCAAGATGTTAAGTTAGGGCAAACAATTCAAAATTAATGTTACACGAGCGCCAGCTGGTGAATGAATTATG